ATTGAACTAAGAGGTCTCTTATTGAACTAAAAGATCTCTTATTGAACTAAAAGATCTCTTATTGAACTAAAAGGTCTCTTATTGAACTAAGAGGTCTCTTATTGAACTAAAAGATCTCTTATTGAACTAAAAGATCTCTTATTGAACTAAAAGGTCTCTTATTGAACTAAGAGGTCTCTTATTGAACTAAAAGGTCTCTTATTGAACTAAAAGATCTCTTATTGAACTAAAAGATCTCTTATTGAACTAAAAGATCTCTTATTGAACTAAAAGGTATCTTATTGAACTAAAAGATCTCTTATTGAACTAAAAGATCTCTTATTGAACTAAAAGATCTCTTATTGAACTAAAAGATCTCTTATTGAACTAAAAGGTCTGTTATTGAACTAAAAGGTCTGTTATTGAACTAAAAGATCTCTTATTGAACTAAAAGGTCTGTTATTGAACTAAAAGATCTCTTATTGAACTAAAAAATCTCTTATTGAACTAAAAGGTATCTTATTGAACTAAAAGGTCTCTTATTGAACTAAAAGGTCTCTTATTGAACTAAAAGATCTCTTATTGAACTAAAAGATCTCTTATTGAACTAAAAGATCTCTTATTGAACTAAAAGATCTCTTATTGAACTAAAAGGTCTCTTATTGAACTAAAAGGTCTGTTATTGAAGGTGTTTTGTTTTGATGTAATTAAACCTAGTTCAATGTTTTTTCTGAATGATCTTATAATAACAATAAAGAAATATATTTTCAGGCTGAGGGGGTACAACAGGAATATTCTTTAAGTAGATATATCTGTCTAGATTCTGGTAAGTTTAGACTAATTCTAGAAGTTTACCTGGGCGATCATCTCTTTAACTCGGTAAAATGTTGATTACCATTAGTAAGATATAAAAATATCTGAAGTATTGTATATTATTTATAGGTAAAGATGAGGTGGTAGAGCAGTTCGATCTCCAGCTTCCTGAACAGTGGGTGGATGATTCAGCTAGAGGAGAATTTACTGTTATAGGTAGGTTAACTTTTATAATATATAATTTATAATGATTATAATGTCAATAAAATCTAGAAGTAATTTCAGATATATTCTGATGATTAAAACGTAAATTGTTGAAACGTTGTGTACACTAAAACAAGACAGTAGTTAGTTTATCATAAGGTGTGTTATGTAAATTGTTGAAACGTTGTTACAGGTGATATCATGGGTCAGGCACTGTCTAACCTAGACAACCTAGTTAGTCAGTCGACAGGGTAGTACTAATGATACAATATTATTTACAGGTGATATCATGGGTCCGGCACTGTCTAACCTAGACAACCTAGTTAGTCAGCCGACAGGATGTGGAGAACAGACTATGGTTACCTTCACTCCTAATATCTACGTATTAAAATATCTACAGAGTGTACAACAAGATACGGAGGAATTAGAGGCTTTGGCTAAAAATTATATGGAAATAGGTGAGATGGTTATTAAAGATGTGTTCCCTTATTTTCATTTATGAAAATGAAAATGATGAAAATGAAAATGCTAATACTTATATGAATAGAAAGTAGAGGTGTTCTAATGACTTGGAAAAATACCAGTTTGTCTCACAAGTCTATAATTAATTCATAATTAGCTAAATTAGAAGAGAAATACCAGCAGAATTATCATGCGTGACCGACCTAGAAAGGTCAAAAAGTCTTTTTTTTGTTTATCCAGACTGTACATAGATGGACATTTATAATTGGCTAAAACTCTTAATCATTGCAATAAGAATATAATGATATGATTAAGAATATTAATTCACCGTTCAGTGTATGGGCTACACTCACTTTCCTACAAGATCTCATTACGACTTGGATATCTATGATGAAATATGGTCTTTACTGAAAGGGATTACAAAGAGAGGTTTTCTAAATATTGTATGTGTATAGGGGACAATGATAGCATCAGTTTTTAATCAGGTGTCTCGGGTGCTTTCCATTTAAATGCTTATCTCTTACTCATTATGCAATAACTATTTCCATGATATATGAAAGGTAACATTATAAATATAAAAACAATAAATTTCTGTGACAGCAACTTCCCCTTTATTTCAGGTTACCAACGAGAAATGACTTTCAGACATGATGATGGCTCCTTCAGTGCTTTTGGTAAATCAGACAAGTCTGGCAGTACCTGGCTCACAGCTTTTGTCATCCAGTCTTTCGCTCAAGCTCGGGAATTCATATACATCGACACCAAAGATTTGGAAAAGAGCATTAAATTTATTCGAACCCGGGCGAGATTGGAGAATGGTTGTTTCAGAGAAGTGGGGAAGGTATTTAGCTCGTATATGATGGGAGGTTTAGACACATCGAAAGATTCCTCCCTCACCACTCTTACTGCTTATGTTCTTATATCTCTACTGGAAGCCAACGTTTCAAAAGAGGTAAGACTTGGCTTTATATCTTTATTATAAACAATATTTTCTTATCAAGTAAGATTTATCTTTAAAATATAAATTTTATAGATCACTGGAACCATGAACCCTGTCTTTCTGTTTATTCTGTTGTATGTTGTTCTATATCATTCTTCTACAATATTCTAAAAGTCTAACATGATAAACTTTGTCTAAATTCTTCCAAATGTCGCATATCATTTTGTTCTGTTTATTTCCTCAGGATCCAATGATAATAGAGGGTATGAATTGTTTGAACGCCCAGGAACCTACCGAGGATGTCTACACCATGTCAGTATTAACCTACGCTAATGTTTTATATAACGTAAACAGTACAGAATCAGTTGAAGCTCTCGACAGATTGAATGAACAGGTTATAAAGAATGGTGGGTTTAATTTCTTTCATTTCACAGTCGCCAAATCCCCGAACTTCAATCTATAGCCCCATCTATAGCCTGTTATATTTATCAAATTGTCAACTAGTAAGGTATTTTATCCCAATGGTGTTTACATTATCAATTTGTGGGGTCGACTTGAGGCTACAGAATAGTCAAGGGGGAGCATGGTTCAAAAATTATCTTTCCAATTTCAATCTCAACATATAATCAAATGATTATACTTAAAGAAAATTAACTCGAAACCCGAATCTAAAGTAATAGACGCCTGATATCCGCGGCAATAAAGTTGATCTATTAAAACGGGAGTATTCCAAATCACCTTTTTTTCATTTTTATTTTTTTATTTACAGGTAATATTGAACATTGGGCTCGAAAAGGCCCCAAACCTAAACCAGTAAATAGTTGGTATTATTTTGTGGCGCCGTCTGCAGAGGTGGAGATGACTGCTTATGGTATGTTATCCCGCCTGCATTCCACTGATAATATCGGTGATGTCGTACCACTGGCCATGTGGATGTCACAACAACGAAATTCGTTTGGTGGATATGCTTCAACACAGGTGAGACTGACAAAATCAATATTTATTCTACTCTCTTATTAGGTTGGCGTGGCTCAAAGAGTTAAACGCTTGCTCGCTAACCTGGGGATCCAGGGTTAAATAAACAGAAGACCTAACTACAAGTTTCCTAATAGTGTTGCCTGTCGTCATTGGCTATATGAGGTACAATGAAAAAGATGGACGTAAAACTCATTTAATTTACTTCCAATGTTTTGCACATGGAAGAAGATGTTTTATCAATCAAAAATTCTGGATGAGGGGAATTCGGAATTCGGATGATTTTGTCATCAGGCTTGAATAGTAATTTTTATTTTTTGGAAATTTAGCTGTTGTTTTTCTCAGTCAGTTTCTAACTGCCCATATTGGTGTATATCATTTTGTCTAGCAAGCTTGTTTATCATTGTAGGATACAGTAGTCGGTCTTCATGCCTTGTCGGAGTTCGCCGCCATGTTGAAACAGGATGGCAATGGAGAAACTACAGAGGGATTAAAAATCCTATTTCAAGGGAAATCTCAAGAGAATTCATTAAACGTCACTTCCGAGAATGCCTTACTTTTACAAACAGTAAATTTGAAAGAGTTATCGAACTTTTTTGATGTAACAGCTCGAGGTCAGGGTTGTGCTCTAGTACAAGCTAATGTTCGCTATAATATAGACCCAGATGATCTCGATACAGGCAAGATCTTCGCTTTAAAAGTTTCAGCTCGACGAGAAGAAAATGATTGTGCTCTGAAAGCCATGGAGATTTGTGTCAGGTGAGAAAATTTGATTTTTTTTGATTGATTTTGTAAATATTTAAAGGGTATAGCAGTCTGTGTTGTTGACTAAACACACGATAAACTATTCCTGTTTTTCAGAATCAAAATATTGAGATTGTCTTTATAATATTAGACATGGTTCCTACCGGCCGTCCTAGACTATTATATTTATATTCTGTGAACCACTATCTTGGTTTTTATTGACAAGGGGGTATGGTTTAACGACGATATTAGCGGGTTGTTTTTTTCTCTCATTCAAGATTATTCTACAATTTTGTTTTAGTTTCTACAAACATCAGGGTTACAGTGATGGAATGAGTTTAGTTACTGTTTCCATGGTAACAGGATGGTCTGTGGAACCTAAATCATTGAAAAGGGTAAGTTTTCTATCTCTATAGAAACTTGTGTTAATCTATGAAACTGAAAATTATATACAAAACCACAAAATATACTAAATTACAAAAAAAAACTGTCACCAATGACAGATGTCAGGTATTTAATATAAGAAATTTAGTTCCTTTCGTGTAGGTACTTGTGTATAACAAATTGAGTATAATTCTAGGCCTACATGTATTTTCAATAGTTATTTTAACTATAAATTATATCTTACTCAACAATATGTTGTTTTCTCTGATTTTAGTTAAGAAGTAGATTCTCAATGTTAAATATGAAGAAATATGAAATAGACAACACTGATGGTTCAATCAACTTTTACTTTGACGAGGTGAGTTTTGGATATACATATCGTCAGGATAAATACACCTGCGTGAATCATGGGAGGTAAAATAGATTCCCACAGCAAAGTTTTGGGTCTAGTATAAAAGAATTATTATATCAAATATCTGCCATTTTTAGTCAGATTAGTGTTGTTCTTCGTAGAGATAGCACCTTTCTCGTCTCCTTTTCATTTTATTCGCTTGATAAAGAGATTAGTCTCGAAACGTACCCACATTTACTCTAATTGTAATTTTTACCTACTATTTGCACGTTATCGTGTGATTTATCAAATAAAGCAATATATCCTAGGGCACTAATCGCAAAATATGTTTGTGTCAACACTTTTAGTGAAATTGCAGGAACCAGAGACGTCTGATTGAAATTTGGAATGGTACAAATTGATGTTAACAGTGTCCCTGGGAGAATCTCTTTACAATCTCTTTTATAACATTGTTAATGTTGTTTTTCATAAGTATTTTTTTTTCTGTTAACAGTTAGATCACCGACAGAGATGTTTTAAATTTGATTTGATCCAGAATAAAGATTTGGCTGTTTCTTCCCCGAAATCTGGCATCGTTAAAGTCTTCCAATATTATGAAAAAGGTAAAATTTGGTTTATTTCAATCTTCAGGGTTTGAGGGAAGGATAAGTCATGCCAACAATCTATGTAGTTTAAGTTTTGCAACAGGGGCTGCTGGGAGGGGCCACCACTAATTTGTTTTTGAACCCATTCTATGGGATTCAAGGGGAATAATTTTGTAGATAAAGGGCTTAAATCTTGCATTTTATTCAGTTTGAGAGAGTTTCCTTTAAACTTATTACTTTTTTTACGATGCAAAGATTCATATTTTGACTACAACAAAAGTTTGGGCCACCACTGCTCTATAGTTATAGAATACTGAAAATTACAAAGAGTTTTGTTAAAGTTAACTGTCTCTAACCCTACCTACCTATCTTAACCCGTCTTATTACGGTATTTACGGTATTGTTTATTTGTTTAAACAGAGGTATCGGAGGTAAAATCCTATAGTTTAAAAACAATTTGTGGAACTAAAGAAGAAATCCCGATAAAACCGCCTCAGGTGCTACCACCTATTGATGAACCTGATTTCATACAGCGGAGAGTTTTTGATGTTAGAGGTAATTGTTGATAATAAGCTGAGAGTATTATCGGAAATATGTTTTTTTTTACTATTTTGGTGTAATATACTATAGAAATGTCATTTATTCAATTTGTCACATGACACTATGATAATCTTATAAAATAAAATACTGTTCTACCATTTCAATTATCAGCCAAAGTTCTTGAAAACTCGCTGCCTGTTTTTAAGACCTTATTCCCATGAATATGAATATAATTCCCCGACTACTCAATTTTGTAGGCTGTAAGTTATGGCCCTTGTCAGTAATCAGGTATTTTCTTGATCTTATTTCAGCTGGTGATGATAGTCCTATAGTCCCGGAAAGAGTCAATCCTTTGACACGACTGAGAGAAGTTCCATCTCCTAGAGTAAGTTTTTAAATCAAGCTCAGAGGAAAAGTTTTCTTTTAAAATAATAATAGATAAACATTTCTTTACTAATGAATTAGAGGAGTGCGTATTAAACATGCGCATTATACTCGCAATTATACTGTAATTTTATCGGTTTGATTGGAATATTTACTTTATATTTATAAATTAGATTTCAAGAAAATATATTTCCTATTGAACTAGAGGAGTGCGTATAATTCATACGCCTTGTAATCGTAATTATACAATATGTCATACTACATATTCTGATAATCTGACCCTTGTGAAATAACCCCTGATAACCTCTATTGAAATAAAATATAATGTTAAGTGAATATTTATTGTAGAAAAATATAAAATGTCCAGTTTGTACGAATACACCACCTGATAATTTGGATGATTTGGTCTGTCAATCTGGTTCGAGTAAGTTTTTACTATATTTTATTTATAGATTGGTTACAATCTATTTCAGTAGTCAGCTGTTCAGATTCTCTCTGGATTTGTTTGAAAGAATATTTTAATAATATTATAATTATGGTTTCTGTGATGATATTATATTAATGTGTGTATCTTCAGTATTAAAAGTGTCGGCTGGTAGAAATGGCCGAGTGACAATGAAACTAAAAGCTGATCTCCGACCTCGTCGTAAACAGAGACTGGATGAGTTCGTCAGTGTAGACTTGAACAGCCAGTGTCCCTGTAATCTCATCAAACCACCCAGTAAGTTTAAATATTTATTTTCATGATGACATCCATAGTCTTGTACCCAGGCCAGTGCTTCTGTATTATAACACCTAATAGATTTTTTACAGGAATTCGAAACAGTGACGTTTCTATGAATCTTCTGGTGAGAAGGGGCCGCAGAAGTATCAAAGGGACTTGACAGGAAATTCTTTCACTATCTGGCCCCAACTCTAGATTCCCCAGATAATTTGAAAAATACTAAAAAAAATTTATATTTTTCTTGTAGAAAGACAAAAGAGAGGTTTGTTAAAAATAATTTTCAAACTTTTGGCTTCAAATTCTTCTGTAATTTTCCCCTGCTTTTACTCAACTCAAAATTCTGATAATCCTAACTGAAATTTTACTGAAATAAACTTTCAAATCTACACGACCTCTTTATTGTCTTTTAGCTTATTGATATTTCTTAACTAAACTTAACGTAGTTGTCAAATCGATTGTAGGTATCGTTTTATTTTATACTCTCAGTTATATTATTTATCAGTATCTTGTCAGTAACTTACTAACAACCCTAAAATAATCGTTTCATATGAGAAATTATATCTGTATACTCTATTAATATTCAATATTTTAATAACAACGTGGTCTGTTTTCTATTTTCAGTGAAAAGATTGCTAGTCTTCACAGAATCACCAAATTTATTCGATAAGGAAGGACAGAAAGAAAAGGCGTTTGATTTGACCAAAGCTAAATACGTGATAAACCTGGATCTGGATAAAAAGTTGGAACGAAGAGTTCGACTTCTAGCTAGAAAATGTCGTACACCTTAAATATAAACTCTCGAGAAAAGTGGCTTATAAACATTTTACTTAAAAACTTAAAATACAGAAACAAAACTCTACAAGAATTCTCCAAAAACTATTTTTTCTCCTTTTTACCAGGGAATTTCTATGTTTATAAAATTATAAGATTATTAGAAACAGATATATAATGTATATCAAGAATTTATCTGAAAAAATGTACTTTATATTTACTTTAATCATATTTTACCTGATACTATCTGTAGTGTTTGTATTTTTACAATTTCTCTAAGGTATAAATTCAAGTTACTTTATAATAAGAAATTTTGTATAAAAATCTTTTAAAATCTTGTATATACATTTAATTTCATTATAAATTTATATTGATTTTTGTTGTTAAAGGAATCCACCCTGCTTTACATGTTTTCGTCGGTTTAAAACCGCAGTAACGTTAATTCAAATTTGAGATTAAGTGGAAATAGGAATCAGGGTGTGCTTCTATAAATTAAAAAATGGCATAATATTGAATAATTGTAGTCAATTTATATGTCGAATGTTTGTATACCTGCTTGTCTTGTGTTTAGATTTCCTGATTCATTGTTTTATAATATGTCACTGTCAATTGCTGAACTCTGACCTCTTGTTCTACATTGTATACATATTGTTATCCCATCACTGCTAATATACAAATAAATAACAAGGTACAACCATTTACACGCGCATTATATTCGAAATTATACATTAAGTCGTATAAATTCTGCTAAAATACCACTGCCAATATATAAAAACAAATAATGACATGATAATCTAGAGTCACGAAATAACCTGAATAACACTGGTAACTCGAGACTACAACTTCGTCTATTACTGAAAAATGGCTGCTTGAGATATGATAATTTCTATCCATGTAATGTGAGAGGACGATGTTTTTTGAAGATTTACCAAATTGTTTAAGATATTAATTCCTACATTGCTTTAAGACTGGATATTAAGAATAAATATCTTAGATAGGTACTCGAGCTCAGTTAGGCGTTATCTATAAGGGAGATAATGTTGGTGTCTGCAATATCTTCACTCCGTATTACACATGTTAAATTTATTCTGACGTTGGGACCAAAGACTAGAATAGAGAAATATATCCTAAACTTAAAAATTCATGTTTTTATATCGTTTTTAGATAATGTCGTCATTTTTTTGTGAATTTTGTAATTTGTCTCACTTTGATGTAATTTTTAAAATAATAATAATAATAATAATATCACTCCATATTAAAAACATGTTATTATCTCCCCTGACTGTCTGTCAATGAATAAAAACCCAAGTACTAACGATCCGAACCGCGAAGCAGAAAACGAAATAGGCCTACTATAGAAGCAACATTTGAAAGTAAAATCCATGAAACTTGGTATACCTTTATATTAATGATACACCAAATAGTATATTTTCTACCAAGTCTCTGTATAGATTAACACTCAAATAAAAATATATCATCTGTTACGTGTATCCCGAGATCTCTGTTTGGATATAGCTACACATCTATAATATAAGTTATAGCTACAGAATAATTTACGGGTTGGTCTAAAACCCGATCAGCATCAATAACGGTCTTAAAATAATAACCAGTAGTCAGGTTTATACCATGTTCTTTGACAAACTCAAGATTTAGATACAACATAAATTCGGTGTATGTGAATTACCAGTCTAAAATCATGACTTCGATTGTACGCAATACACCACAAATTCGGTGTATGTGAATTACCAGTCTAAAATCATGACTTAGATTGTACGCAATACACCACAAATTCGGTGTATGTGAATTACCAGTCTAAAATCATGACTTAGATTGTACGCAATACACCACAAATTCGGTGTATGTGAATTACCAGTCTAAAATCATGACTTAGATTGTACGCAATACACCACAAATTCGGTGTATGTGAATTACCAGTCTAAAATCATGACTTAGATTTTACGCAATACACCACAAATTCGGTGTATGTGAATTACCAGTCTAAAATCATGACTTAGATTGTACGCAATACACCACAAATTCGGTGTATGTGAATTACCAGTCTAAAATCATGACTTAGATTGTACGCAATACACCACAAATTCGGTGTATGTGAATTACCAGTCTAAAATCATGACTTAGATTTTACGCAATACACTACAAATTCGGTGTATGTGAATTACCAGTCTAAAATCATGACTTAGATTGTACGCAATACACCACAAATTCGGTGTATGTGAATTACCAGTCTAAAATCGTGACGTAGATTGTACACAATACACCACAAATTCGGTGTATGTGAATTACCAGTCTAAAATCATGACTTAGATTGTACGCAATACACCACAAATTCGGTGTATGTGAATTACCAGTCTAAAATCGTGACTTACCTTGACGCAAATACACCACAAATTCGGTGTATGTGAATTACCAGTCTAAAATCATGACTTAGATTGTACGCAATACACCACAAATTCGGTGTATGTGAATTACCAGTCTAAAATCATGACTTATATTGTACGCAATACACTACAAATTCGGTGTATGTGAATTACCAGTCTAAAATCATGACTTAGATTGTACGCAATACACCACAAATTCGGTGTATGTGAATTACCAGTCTAAAATCATGACTTAGATTGTACGCAATACACCACAAATTCGGTGTATGTGAATTACCAGTCTAAAATCATGACTTAGATTGTACGCAATACACCACAAATTCGGTGTATGTGAATTACCAGTCTAAAATCATGACTTAGATTGTACACAATACACCACAAATTCGGTGTATGTGAATTACCATTCAAAATCATGACTTAGATTGTACGCAATACACCACAAATTCGGTGTATGTGAATTACCAGTCTAAAATCATGACTTAGATTGTACACAATACACCACAAATTCGGTGTATGTGAATTACCAGTCTAAAATCATGACTTAGATTGTACGCAATACACCACAAATTCGGTGTATGTGAATTACCAGTCTAAAATCATGACTTAGATTGTACACAATACACCACAAATTCGGTGTATGTGAATTACCAGTCTAAAATCATGACTTAGATTGTACGCAATACACCACAAATTCGGTGTATGTGAATTACTACACAATACTGTTGAGATTGCGAAGTTAGGGTTGAGAAGTTATAAAATCATTACCTTAATTCTTGCAATTATTTTTAATCGAGAATTTTGTATGTAAATGTAATCAAAGAAAAAAATCATTACTAAAAACCAAACTAACAGGAACAAAATCTTTTAACCAATTTGCAGACATGAGTAATAACGACAATAAACGTTTAGGTTAGAAAAGGGTTTTTTTTTTTAAACATATTTCTCTATGTCCTCCTCTGATAAATTTCTCTTTGAGAATATCACTAATAATATTTTAATTTTAAATGTCATTTAAAAGCAGGTTGCATCTGTTTATTCCAAATAACATTCATTTAAAATATCTAGTATATCTGGTGTTTTGTCTAAATTAAAACATGTAACGAGCATGTTTATTTTTTCAAATTTAACAGAAGTTTTAAGTCTTACTTTATTTTATTGGCGATCAAACGGTATAATTAGCGACTTCTATAACCACTTTCTCAACTTCTCTATGAGCATTTAGCTGATTTTCAAATCGAAGAAATGTACATGGATGTACAGAATTTGAATGATTACAAAAATCTAGTCCAATGACAGGTAATTTCTTTTTAAAAATCAAGACTTATGTCCATAGATTTGATTAATTAGATTGATTATCAGGGAAATTATCGTAGGAGTGAGCAATGGGTGGAGATCTTTAAAAACCAGATTTACTGATATTCTGAATTTATATATCATTATCAGTGGCACATTTAGGGGGAGAGCCATTGACCACGGCCTCCCTTCAGACAAACATTGACCACGGCCTCCCTTCAGACAAGTGAAAATGAAAATTAGACCCTCCAAATGCTTAAAATTCATCTCATTCCTTCTGAAATCTGCTGGCTTTTAGGGGCCTCTGATAGCACCCAGTTCCCCCCCCCCCCCCTCCTCCCCCCCCTCCTCCACACCCTCAGTCCCTGATTGTAACATCTTTTTTATGGATAAATATCTGATATAATATACCCACACGGCAATGTCATTTTTAGTTTAATACGGACAGTAAGGCGGTGGGGAGGGGTGCTAGGGGTCTGTGTGGCACCGGATAGCACCCCTATAACATACGCCCACTTGTAACCAGTATCATAATACTGATAGACAGACAGACTGTTTAAGAGGGATGGGGGCTGGCTAGATTAAATGATAGTGATATGATTTGTTTATTGTTTCTTAAATATATTTTTTTTAAAACGTGTGTATATTGGACAAGGAGTGTATGGTTTTTAGTGTTTAATTCTTCAAATATAAACGACGCGATTCATTTTATTATTTATAAAAATAGATTTTGATATTATTTCACTGGAAGATTTGTCGAGTTGTTCACTTTTTTTTTATTTTATCGCAGTATTAGAAATATTAATTTTATGTGAAATTGTTGCTTGTTTATATTTAAGAATAAAAGACAATTCCGTTTATCAAAATCAGAGTAAAAGTTGTATAGTAGTGGACTCTTCCAAAGAGAAGTACCAGTTTATCTAACAAGCTGACATCTTACACTTAGAATAAAGAACATTGAATAAACATTGGTGAGGATGAAAAGCAGATGTTTAAAACCAGACAGTGAGATCAAACCTACCTTAAATGTTATAGGGACGGGCTCCACTTCTGGGCTCTTCTGGGACCTGAAAACATGTGCATGTTATTTTATAGGTCAACTAGTAGTTTACACGTGCACGAGAAGATAATTAAACACTAAAATCCACACACCTTGTTTTGGTTTTTTGTTGAATTTGTAAAAAAATGTTTTAAATGTATTGAGTTTACTAATATTCTTAAACTGTAAACAAATTTAATAAATTGAATCTAAAACATGTCAGGGATTTAGAAAATATACTGCCTATTAAAACATACAAAATAAAACTTATTAAGGGGCGGCCAGG